GGATGGAGAGTTGGAAGGGGTCAACCTCAGCGAACGTACCTCAATCAGACTTAGGATGTTTTTAGCAAAGGCCAGCTTAGGAGTACCCTAATTAAGTTAATAACAATGTACCTACCTATATAGTTTAAGTTTAAAAAATTTGGCTCTCAAAAGAAATTTCAATCATTGTACTGTTGATATTTGGCTCTGTTGACTAATGAATTTGCTGACCACTGGCTTAAGCCAAAAAACAAAACAAAAAAAACACAGATGTTACCCTTGGTTCTTCCCTAATTCTGCATATCTTACTACAAATCTGTGAGTTAGCCTCCCAAATATATATATATCCCAACTGAACCATTCTCACCTCCTGATCATCCTACCCCAAGTCACTGTTTATTGCTCATCTGAAATGTAATGACCTCCTAATTGACTTCCCTCTCTTTCCAACCTCCTTTCCCCACATCAAACAGAGTAGCCATAGTGTTCCTTCTAAGATGTATGGCAGTTCAATACACACTCCTACTTACTATGATAAAAAAAAAATCAACTCACTAAAATCAGAACTTCCCGCAATGGAGGTAAAGAAAGAAATCTAATATCCACTGAATGGCAAAGCTATGAGTTGTGAAGCACCAGAGCTGTTCTGGGTAGGAAACTTGTTTTGAGAGAAGAGGTCCCTCAGTCAAGATAGGAAAGAGGGTATCACAAGAGAATTCCGGTATCACTTCAGTGTCTCATCTCTGATGTTCCTGGTGCCGGACAGGCCTCTTCCTTTACATCATTTGATTATGTAAGCAAATACAATCTTCATTTCTGCCCAAGCTATTCTGAGTTAGGTTTCTCTTGCTTGCATGAAGTCTCAACTGCTTCAATCAATGTGTACTGTTCTGGGATGAATTCTAAAAACAGACAAACAGAACTACTACCTATCTCTTCTAGGGTAAAATCTAACAAGTATTAGTTTCTCACTAAGGGATAATGAAACCTATTTGGGATAATACGTATAAGTAAAGTGTCTAGAGAGTGTCTTTATTTCTAGTTCTGGTTCTTTTCCCAGGATTAGCCATGTTCATGCTCCTGGTACCTACCAACGAAGTAGCATAAGTGTAGCAGCAGCAATAAAAATAGTCGAGGCATGAGAGCATTGGCTATAGGTTCTCTAAGACTAGCAGCAGTTCAGCTAACAGAGTGATCACAATAATGACAGAAGTTGGGGGTAATATCTATAGCTGAGCATAGAAAGAGCAAAACCAGGCTGGAAGTGAGGCAAACAACAAGAAATAAAACCCAAACCAGAGAGCTCAGGAATTGATCAGAGAAAACAGGTCTAGATTGGACACTCAATTTTAACCACAGAACACAGAAAGGGTAACAATCTGTACATTATTAAGAAATATCCTTAATATGGTTTTAGAGACGTTAACAGTTATACAGAGGCACATCCAGTAGATTTTATCTTTACAAATATTAAACAGATTATTAAATACTAAAATTAAATTATTATGAATAAGAGTCCTCGTTCTGGACTTTAAAATTAGGATGGCTTGACTAATGCAAAACAGCCTGGATTGTAATTATTGTGTCCTTTGATGTTGCACTCATAGATTAATTCTGGGAGGCTGTTCATCTGATTCTTGGGCTTCAATGACAACAAAAAGAATTTAGACTAATGATGAAAAAATCTTTTTTGACAGTTCAAGTTATTAAATACCGACATAATATATAAAAGTGATTACTGAATCATTTTCTCTCAAAGCCTAACAGAAAGCATAGATTCCTATCTTAGTTGGATGACTTAATAATAGTGGCTTATATTGGAGGCAAATGGAGGACTGAATAACTGCCAAATTCCTTCAAATTTGATGATTCAAATTGTGTGACACAGTTCCTCATAGGCACCAGAAGTCTACATCTGAAAGCTACTCCAGAGTGCTGGTGTGCATCATTCTGTATTTTCATTTCTAACTCAAAACTGTATTTGTGGTGGGAAGAAAAAAGAAAGCAGGAAGCAACTAAGGAAGAAGAAGTAAAGTAACATTAATTACCTTGTCTTTATTCACTTCCTTGGAACTACATAGAACCAGAATCAGAAGTAGTATTTATGAACACAAATTACAAAAAGAATACAGGCTTCTAGAATTCTGGCAATGGTAGTCTATCACTCACTATATTCTTCTACATAAAGCACTTCCATTGTGGCACAATTTTACTTTGAATTAAATAATGAGCAATAATTTGTCATTTGGGGAGGCAGAGAAGAATTCTCTAAGTAATGCTAAAATAATTTAAATATCTCAATCTGACACCACAACATAGATACTTCATGGTTTCAGGTTCCAATGCCAGGAACCTGGTGAGTGAAATCACCTAACTAAGACTATAAGAAAGCATTTTTAAAGTATCATTTTAATAAAGGGCTGCTGTAAATACTTAAAACATTTATAAGAAGTCTATGTGTTCTTCTAAAATGGAAATTGAGAGAATTATTTTATGTTTGTGGAAAATATTAGATTCTTCTAGCAACAATTATTTTTTTTCTCAGACATTTTTTTAAATAAACTAAGTGCTTACAAAATCTCACATCTGTAACTGAGCTTTCAATCTCATAACTTTAGTGATTGAATGTGGGAAAAGATAAAAATCTAAGTTTAATAATACCAATGAAGAGAATGCTTGAAACCTGGGAATTGCTTTGAGACACATATTAAGTTGGGCCAGGCAGACAATATAAATGCAAAGACAAAAACTGGAAGAAAAGGCATTTCTGAGAAAAATGAGTTCAGGTTTTCAGTGAATTCAGTTACACGATGAATTACAAAAGATATATTGCTTTTGGAAGAAAAATAAAAGGAGGGAAGGGAGGAAAGAAGAGACTAAGTTACTAAGCTAATGAAGAAGGTACTGATGCATCTTAAATCACTGAAGTTTTAGGCAAACAAATATAATGTGTTTAGCATCATTAATATACGTGTTGTCACAGATGACTTCTTGGAAGAAAACAAATGACTTGTAAATCTTAAGTACACCAAGCTGCCTATGAACATGCAATTGTAGTGAGGATACATAAAGCATCACAGAGTAAATGGTGTATCACTCTGATTCAGTGCTTGCTGTCATTTTCACAGAGATACATACACAACCAAAGGCAATGTATGAGTGATTCTGGAGGGATATTGAAGAGACGTTGAGCATATATACAGAGCTATATAAATCGACTCTCATCCCTAGATAATTTAGAGACAGAAATAAACCATGTTATTATAACACAATGTAGCATCTCTTGGTACCATAAAGACAATAAACATAAAAAAGACACTTTGAATGGTTCTATCAAGTCATAATGAAAATGACTTTCATATGGAAAATGCTCAAGCACTGTTTTCAAAGATTAATTCGCTTGAAATTGATTTGTTTAAAACCATTTCCAACTCCTGCATCCTGACATGCTTGATTCTTGGTCATTAAGCAATGAACCCTTTTGATGTTAGACCACATAATCACATTAGTGAAACTGAAATGTACAGTAAAGAGTATTATTTAAAAAGTATAACTGCCAAAAGAAGAAGAAAATTAAAAGCATTTCTACCCAATCACTGAAAATTGTATTCACAGTAATTTTTTAGATTAAAGTGCCTGCAACTATAATGTGTCTGTACCAGTGTTTAAAATGAAGCAAACAGCATTCCTATTACTACTAGCTGCTAATACACACAGGAGTTTATTAAGTAATAGAAATCAGTTATCATAAATAAAGTTGGTTCGGCTCTGTGGAATATTATCTCAAAATTATAGAAGTGGCCAAGAGCGGAACTCCAAGTCAGGCCAATGTAGGTGTCTTTGTTTTCTTCACAGTGTGACTTTTTGGGGAAAGTTACAAAAAGCTTCATGAGCCTCAGTTTCTTCATCATAAAAATGGGAGATAACCTATGCTGTTTTAATAATACAAATTTGGAACTAATAGATAAATAAGTTCCAGGGATTTAATGTATAGAATAGTGACCATATACAATAATACTGGGTTGTAAACTTCTACATAGTAAGAAACTAGATCTGAATTATGCCCACCACAAACAGGAAATCATCATTATGGGACATGATAGAGAGTTAGCTAACACTATGGTGGTGAACATATGGCAATTTGTACCAAATCAACAGGTTGGGCATCTGAAACTCACACAGTGTTATATGTCAGTTATATTTCAATTAAAATAAAGTAAAAGAAAAAATGTAGGAGCTCATCATGCCTCCATTCTAGGTTTGTTATGGGAATTAAATACAATAATGTGTATAGAGTGCTGATGGCAGAAAGCCCCCAATAAAATTTGTAATTGTTACTATTATCATTATGAGTTAATTTTTTTCTATCAAATAGGAACAGTAATAGGGTTTCATTGGTCCTTTCATATATTAAATAGATAAGAACTAAAATGCAAAATTCCATAAAGAACTTTATAGTTTCTTTCTTCAGGAGTTTTTCAATAACCTAGGGGCAAAACTACCTTAGAGAAAGTGGGGAGATGTCAAGAGGGGAAAAAACAAGACCTAGATTAGTCCTATATTAGTCAAGTCCGGAATAATTGTGCTGTGGGGTATTAGGGAGAAAAGAAATATTTACAAGAATCTCTGCAGCCCCCTTGTCAGGCACTCCTACAATGCCTCATTTGATTCTTGGACCAATTTGGTGAGATATTCATTTTATCCATAAGGAGTCTCAAAGAAGGTCCAGTATATTTAACCCAATTCCCTTTTTCTATCTCGTGAGGCTTTCAGGAAAGAAACTATAAATATGTAACACTAAAAGAAACAATAAGGACTATATCAAAGACATTTCTGAAGTCTACAAGTTTTACATTTACTATCAGGAATCAATCCATCCCCTAAAATATCCATAATTCTAATCAACATGAAGGGCCTCCTCTAAATAATTAACTTTCGGATAAGATTGTAAAGAGAAATCCAATTTGTAGAAGCATTGCATTCCAGCAAGAGGAAGTTTAACACAATAACAAAAGGTAGGGATGGAAGACTACCAGAGTGCGGAAAAGACCACTTTTGTTGTTGACGAAGTGAGCAACATTGTGCAAGAGGCTATAGAAAGTGCCATCCGTGGCAATGCCTATCAGCACAGCAAAGTCAATCAGTGGACCACAAATGTCGTAGAACCAACTTTAAGCCAACTCACCAAGCTGGGAAGACCATTCAAATACATTGTGACCTGTATAATTATGCAGAAGAACAGAGCAGGACTACACACGGCGAGGTCTTGCTTCTGGGACAGCTCTACTGACGGGAGCTGCACCGTGCGATGGGAGAACAAGACCATGTACTGCATCGCCAGCGCCTTCGGACTGTCCATCTGACTGACCTCCTCATCCCCCCAGGCTCTTTCTCCTCTGTCTCAACATTTCTCCGATCTTCTAACCACCAGCCATAAATTCAGTGAACAGCTTTCCCACGCTTTGTTTTCTGTGGCACTCTCAACATGCAGAGAAAAACCCGAATGACCGCACTGTCCTGTGATCAGCACACCCTCAATCACGGACCACACTCTGAATATCTCTGTTCAAAGGTGCTAAACACTCACCCTGCTAGTGTGAACCTTTCTCTCCTCTGAAATCATTCAAACACACTAATTTTTCCATACTTTGTACTTTTGTTAAAAAAAAGAAAAAGGTAGGAGTATACTAGGACAGTATTGTTTATACAAAGTATGCTAAACATGCTAAAATCTTGGGGTGCCTGCTGGGGTAGATTTGCCAAAAGGTTAGTCAAGTTTAAGCTTCTGGGATACCTGCTGTGACATCTTACCTAATTTTATTCTTGTAAGTTTGAGTTAGTTTCCTTCAGAGGAACCCTCCCAAAATTATAGCCGAAGTTGTCAATGAGTCTTATAAAAATGATGTCTTGGAGGGAAAGAGTGGGTTACAACATATCTAAAGTAAGTCATAGGGTTGAGGAAGAGTTTTGTAAGACTGAAAAGACTTGAGCTTGTAATAAATAGTGAGGAATGAGCCAGCAGGGCACTGTAGTCCTTTCCACTTGTTTGTTTTGAATCCTTAAATAGGTTATATGAGGCTCATTTTCTTCATCTATAAAATGAAGATAACAATATATGTATCTTATATGGTTGTTGTACCAGTTACTGTCAATATAAGGAGAGTGTCTAGACAAATACACGGTGGTCACTCAATAAATAAATGTTGCTAAATATTACTATCATTACAACAAACATACAAGCTAAGAATGCATTGGGAACTGAGGCAGCAAAAGCTGAAATGACCTTCCCAGGGTCATTCAGCTGTGAAGTGGGATCCAGATATCATATCCAGCAGGCCAGTGCCAGGGTGCACTGTGTTGACCATGACAAGAACTCCTTTCTTGAGCAAACTTTAGTTGGGCTCATCTGAGCCCTCTTTCCAAGTAGGTCTCAACCTGGCCCCTGTCCTGTTGAGTCCAGTTTCTTTTGTTTTGTTGTGTGTTTTTTATTGATTTTTAGAGAGAGGGGGAAGGATGTGAGAGGGAAACATCAATTGGCTGCCTCCTTCATGCTCCCTACCAGCCAGGTGCCCTGACTAGGAATCGAACCCCAACCCTTCAGTGCATGGGACAACGCCCAACCAAATGAGTCATACCAGCCAGCCAGGGCGGTTGAATCCAGTTTTAACAAATAATTCTGTTAAGCCAGTTTATAAAGAATCCATCCACCCTTAACATCTAAGTCCTTGGCTTGTCTTTTGCAAGAATTCTGTTAAGCCAGTTTAACAAGAATCCCCTACCCTTGATATCTAATCAAATTCCTCTTAGTAATTTTTCATCCATTGACTCCCTGACTCTGCTCACTGGCTGTAAAACCCCAGCTGTCTTTGCTGTATTCAGAGTTGGGTTCAATCTCTCTAACCTACTGCAATCGTCTTGAATAAAATCTTCCTTGCTATTTTTAGCAAGTGTCTGGAACAATTCTTTTCTTTTACAATCACTGTGCTGTATTACCTATGAAACATGATGAAACAGCAATTTAGTTGCAATACCATTAAACTCACTTAGAAATGCAGCATAACACCATAGTTAAGGGCAAAGCCAGGCTTTCTCTGTAGGGGTGGATGAGGTTCTGCTATTTCCTGCATCCATGATCTTAGGAAAGTTGCCCACATTCTCTGCTTTGCTAGCCTCATCTATAAAAAAGGATATAACAATAGTATTTACTTTAAAAGTAGTTTTTTTGTGTGTGAAAATTCCCTGTAAGCAGAACATAGGAAGGTACTGAATATTGCTATTTTAAAGCTTTTATTGAGTAAGAAATCCACTGTTATATATTAAGTGGAATAACCCTAATTACCCTATATATTCTTCAAAATACCCTCTACACCCAGCACCTCCAAGTCCCCATTATTCTGCTATGTATTTTTTCTGTAGCATTTATCACCTAGCATACTATATGATTTACTCTTGCATTAGGCTTATTGGTGCTTGGATTTTTGCGTCTTTTTCTAATTTCCCAGAGGAAGAATTTATTGCCCCTGGCCCATGGGAAGAACTCAAGCAATATTTGTTGATTGGATTAATAAAATATTAGCTCTGAAGGAAAAGCTGGTAAGGAAAAAGATAGAGGAAATCAGTGGAGCTTCAGAAAAATAGTTGGTGGCATCAGGGCCAAAGCAGGTTCCTTCATATGCCTAATTTTCTTTCAAATTATTGACTTTCTTCTCTCCAGACTGAGAAGTGTCAGGTATAGGGTTATTTTCTTACTGGAAAGTAGAATGAAGAGTGGACCAAAGAAAGAGGAGAAAGGAGGAGGTAGAAAGGTTTATCTGAGAAAGAATAAGAGAATACTGCTAAACCAGAATCTGCATTGTAACAAGATACCTAGGAGATTTGGATACATATTAAAGCTTGAGAATCCTGGTTAAAAATAGCATTTCTCCAAGGCTGGATTGCCAATAGCAGAATCACCCTAGTGGGACACTTGATAAACATTCAGATGCGTGGGACTACTTTGACCTCACCTAATGAGAATCTCTGAATATGGAGCCAGGGATCACCATTAACCAATAGCCCAGGTGATACTCACACACAATAACATTTGAGAACCACCATTCAATATAATTAAGCATCTGAGATTTAGATCTTGGCGAGTTAGATGGAAGAAAAGAGACTATGTGGGTTTTTGTTTGTTTGTTTTAATCCTTGCCCAAGAATATGCCCATTGATTTCATTGATATTAGAGAGAAGAGAAGTGCAGATAGGGAGGGGGGCCCAGGGAGGGAAAGGGGAGGGGAGAGAGAGAGAGAATCCATTGGCTTCCTCCCACATATGAACCCAAAATCCAGGTATGTGCCCTGAGCGGGACCCCAACCCACAACTTTTCGGAATATTGAATGATGCTCCAACCAACTGAGCCACACTGGCCAGTGCAGGCTATGAGCTTTAAAACAAAATATTGAATATTGGAATATTGCTCTCAAAGTTCTAGAGAGCTGGGCCAAATTAGAGCTAATTATCAAAACCAGGCAACTAAGCAGAGGTTAGCTTCAGGGAAAGATGGTTCACTGGATCACTTAGAATCAGTTTTTCCCAGTAGTTGACAAAAAGGGTTCCCAGGGGAGCTATACAAGGCAGTTTTTAAACAGATGACCTGGGAGATAGGGCCACCGAAGGAAAGCTTCCAGTGACCAGAGTTATATTTATCTTCCTGCCTTAGGCACTCACCAATTATAAGCACTAAAGATGGGAGTTGGCCTCCCTGGTGGAAAAGAAGGCACAAGAGTAGAGGAATGCCTCTCTATGTCTTGGTTTATTATAAAGGAACAGATCTCGGAAAAATTTCTGAGCAACAACCCACAAACAACATAAAAAAGAAAAAAGATTCTAAGCTGGTGGTACGACATTTAAACTGGCATCAAAGTTTTAAGAGTGGAAGAATATAACAATGAGGAAAAATAAAGAAAAAACTATTCCCTGGCTGGTGTGGGTCAGGTGTTACCCCATGCACCTACAGATTGCTGGTTTGATTCCAGGTCAGGGCACATGTCCGAGGTATCAGGCTCGATCCCCAGTAAGAGGGGGGCCATGCAGGAGGCAGCCAATCATTGTTTTGCTCTCACATCGATGATTCTCTCTCTCGTCCTCTCTTTTAAAAATCAATAAAATATTTTAAACAACATAAAATAAAGAAAAATAGACATTCTACGCGCTTATTACTCACAGTGTGGTCCATGAACTAGCAGCATCAGCTTCCTCTGGGAGCTTGTTAGGAATGAAAACTTTTAAGCTCCGACTTAAATACCCCACAGAAGGGATCTATAGCCTAACAAGATCCCCAGGTGATCTGTGGTAACACTAATATTCCAGAAGCACTGAGCCACATCAGAAGTTCTCAAAGTTGGCCTGTACATTAAAATCACATGAGAAGCTTTTAAACTTGGGATGCCCAAACCCTCCAGACCCTCTTTAACAAGATTTTCCAGGCATCTGAATTTTTAAAGCTCTCTATGGATAGCCAAGGTTGAAGACCACTTCTGTAGTTCTAAAGTTATAGTACAGGTATAAGACTTTGGCCTTTTTCAAAAAAGGTGGCCACTCACTTTTTTTTAAATTAAGCCATAGAATTCTATATACGACAAAACTTAAGGTACCAGCAGATGAACATAAATCTAGATGATGGTTTAGTGAATCACTGCTAAGTACATGGAAAGCACCATATATAGATACGTATTTAATGGCTAATAGAGAGGTGTGCTCTCCTCCTCCTGCCCAATGCATGGAACCTGTCAGATGCTCATCAATTCAGATAATCCTCTGAGAATAAGTAGAAAAGCATGAAGAAATCTAAAATGCTACTCTAATGGCTTAAGTATTTGTGAGGACAAGTGGTATTTGCATCTCTTCTTCCAGTTAAAGGTCATGACATTATAAGAGAACTGAGGATTTGAGATATGAATGTGTTTTAATAATCCGATAATCTGGGTCTAAGGTGAAAGGTCTTTGTTCAATCCACAATACATGTTTTAACTACTTGTTCAATAAACAGACATTGACTTTTACATGCTGGAAAGCATGATTTAAATATGTGACTTCTTCATAAATTCTACACTATGCTGTATACCTGAGACCAGTAGAAAATAATATTGCACATGAACTGTAGTTGAAAAACATAAAAAGAAAAATATAAATATTTGAATTCTTATGGTAATTCTAGTGTGTTCTTATAGTAAAAGCAATTTAAAATTCAAAGGAATGAGATCACAAAGTAGAGCTATAGTAGGATCTTTTAAACTGAAAGGTAGAAGACTAATACAATGCTGAAATAAAACTATACAATTCGATGTTATGAAAGGCAGTAAACATGTCAGTAACCTAAACAACAAACAAACAAACAAACAACAACAACAAAAATCACTTGGGGGAG